GGGGTCATTGACTCCAAAGTTTGGTGAAGAAGCGTTGAACAGCTCTCCCGGAACCCCCTTGGGGGCCCTGGCAATCGTAACAACCGTTGCCGTGTAGATCATGTCTACTTAGATAATTAGCACTCATAACACTAGGGTTAGAGATATGACCTAAGGTGACTTGAGTAAGCCCATTGGTCTTATTATATTGATGACCACCAGTACCATCACCAGTTTGATGGCCACAAACCTCAGAGGTTAGGTAACCACCACCATCACCATTACCAGTTAGATAACCACCACCATTACCAGTTAGATAAACACCACCATTATCACCACCACCAGTTAAGTAGCCACCACCATTATCACTACCACCAGTCTCAGTATGATCGCCAGCGTTGTAGACGTCATGGACCGGATTGGATCTATAAGGTAGATCCTGATAAGGACCGCCTTGGCAGTGTGAGGGTTCAGAGCCACAAGACCGTGCCGACCGGGGGCACTGAAGGGGCGCTACTAACCCTAGATCATGTCTAGGCTTTCGCTCATCGGTCTTACCTTTGGTCTCGTGGTAGATGTGACTAATTGAATACCCGTACTGACACGGTTGAAACTGGTTAGAACACGCAATAGTAGGCACAGAACATGGTATAGATTCGTCACTCATCAATCTTTCTGCCTTCCTCGGGCTCCCCTCTGTGGGGCCATCCGTAGGGGCTCGGATCGGTCTTAATGGCGAAGTCATGAGATGCTCGGCCTCGATAGAGTCAGGCTTATGCCCGATCTCAGAACATATTGCTGGTGGAGCAGGGTCGATGTTCACAATAGGTGTGGTAGATCCCTCATTGGGTCTACCTTGAATGGGGGGACTGGTAACACTCACTTCATGGAGGAGCATTGGGTCAGGTGGACTAGATGTAGGTCCAACAGCGATAGCTCCAGAGATTTGACTTGGCTCTTCGGAGTTAAGGTCGCTGTTGATGGTCACGAAGGCGCTCCTCATAGATGGGAGCCCTTCACGGAGCTTGAGCTTGATGACGTCCCTTGTGAACTCTCTCGACTAGATGGGCATCT